AACTGGGGAGGAGGGGGAGGCCAGCAACTCCCTGGGGCTGGAATTTGGAGACGGGTTTCCAGAAGTTCTTTCTGGGCATCAGTGGTCGGGCTGGTTTACGTCAATGGCTGACGGACTTGTTGAAAAAGAGATTGAAAATCGAGACACTCAATTTTCACAGCCCAGCTCTGACGCAGCTGGAGACAGACAGAGTCACTGCCGGCCGGGGTCGGGTTGGGGATCAAAATGGCCCTGCTCCTTTGCCCGGTCACTACCCGTCCCACTCCTGTTTCACGCTGGAAATCCAGAAGGGAGTGGGAGCACCCCTTTCTCTTGCCTCCTTGGGTTGCAATGAGCTTATGTTACCATTTTAACATCTCCTTAAAGATTTTAAGTTATAAACGCTTAAAGGAAGATAAATGGACTTTGCTGGAACTGCTGGCGATGGCTAAGGGGCGTCTACCTGGGAGGAATGAGGGCAGCAGGCAGGTGCCCGGGAGCCCAGGGAACTCCGCTGGGTCTGCCTGCCCTGTACAGAGGAGCGAGGAAAGGATGCTCCAAGCGATGGGCCAAGCCAGGGAACTGGTGTTAAAGTGAAAGGAAATTTCCACGGGGCTCCGCCAGGTGCCAGGACAGACATATTCCAACGGGGAAAGGTGCCCGTGGGGTGGGGCTCAAAGTCCCACGGTGCGGGCCTCACTGGACAAGACTTGGGTCAGGGCTAGGCACCCTTTGACCAACAGAAGATAGGACTGCCCTGAAGACATGCAGTGGGCCGGGAGTGCCGGCCGTGTTCATGCCAAAGGCAAGAAACAAAGGCAGAGGAGGCTGAGGTCCCCTGGCCAGGGCAGGGCGGGGCAGGGGACACCGGGAGAGACAGGTGGCAGGGAGCGGGATGCCCTCCAGCCGGACAGCCAGCAGGGCGGGCAGGGGTCTGGGCTCCAAGGGCAGGCAGGAGGGCCTCAGCCGCAGAGGGGAGCCAGAATCTCCGGGGAGGGGACGGTGGGTCAGCGTCCTGCAGGCCCACAGCGGGGCGGGGGGCTGTATGCTGGCTTCGGAGGAACCCAGGAGGCATGATCTAGGGCCCCAAGCTGCAGCGGGGCCAGGCTGGGGGAAAGACAGGCATCGTGAGAAAGACCCGCAGGCCGAGCACACCGGGTGCTTGGCTCGAGCCAGGAAAGGGGAGCAGTCACGGGCGCAGGGGGTCATTAGGAACTGTCTTCTGTTGAATTTTAACAGCTTTTAAACACTGCTCTTCCCTTTCAGTTTTTCTCATTTGTTCCTCAGTTTAGAGTAGAAACAACTTAGCTAGTGGCCATTTACTTCTTAAGACCTGGGTGTCAGCTGCAGATTGAGGAAGGAACAAGAACGCAGCAGCTGGGGATGGTCCCAGCACAGAGCTGTGATGAGGGGACTGTCCCCAAGGGAACTCACTGCTAGGCCAGGGCAGTTCACCAACAGGGGCGGTCCCTTTCATCAGGCCTCGGGAGCTCCAGGACCACCAGCCTCGCCTAGACCAGGCTTCTCGCTACAGCCACACTTGAGGCCAGGCCAGGGGATCCCACCAAGGCCTCCCTCTGCCTCCTTCGGAAGGTCGGCAAACCCAGGCCTGGACATGCCGCCAGGCAGGAGCCCTGCAGGCTCCTTATGTCCCATCATGCCCTGAGCAGTCCCGAGCACACCTTTTGCCATCCGCGGGGCAGGAGGTAGGAGCAGGTAGGAGGAGGTAGGTAGGCCAGGGCCCCAAGGCCAGCAGAGGCTGAGAAAGGAAACAAGCAAACCCTCTGGGCGAAGCATCAGCTTCTTGCGAGAAATCCTCGAGACAGGATCCCAGCCCTCCGGATGTGGGGACCCGTTCTACTCCCTCCTTCTCCACCTGGAACCGGGAGGTGCCGGTCCTGCCTGCGCTGCCTGGCAAGTTGGAGGAGCAGGAAACGGGGACCGGGTGCAGGGGCCGCAGCCCTACCATTCGGCAGCTCCCAGCCCGGGTCCTCTAAGGTGACCGGGTCCGGAAAGGACCCCTCCCTCTCCGCAAAGCCGATCTCCTTGGAGGAAGAAAACCTACTCGTTGGGCCCCCACACAGCCCTTCGCACCAGCAAGGTCCTGCTGTGTCCTTCTGTCTGTCACGGGGTGGCCTGCACAGCTGCTTTAGCTATTTGTGCCCTCCTGGGGCCCAGGTCCAGTGCTTGGCACAGGCCAGGGGGGGCCATCACTCAGTGGGACTGAGCGTCGTGAATGGCACATTCACACTGGACCCCAGCCCTTGGCGTGCAGTAGCTGCTCAATAGACTCACCTGGATCACTGACTAGGTGAGTGGCCTTTCCCCGTTCGATTCTCCCCACAAGCAGCACTACAACAGTATACTCATGTGACCGTCAGGAAACAGTGGCCTGAAGCCTAAGGGACTAACCCAAGGCCACGGCAGGGAAGTAAAGACACTGAGCACCAGCCTCTCTTCAGACACTGTAGCTCTCTGCCCACAGCTTTGCTGGAGCAGATAGCACCCATGGGAGACGCTGTTTGAAGAGAGTGTGGAATGCCCAGCAGTGGGTGACTCGGGTGACAGAGAGTAGAAAGAACGCAGGAGCTGCAGGACAATCAGTCAGAACAACAAAGTGCACGTGCCACAACGTCACCCGCCTTCTCTCCTCCCTCCACACCCTCTCCTTGGAGGCAACGTGGGGTCTGTATCCATGAGCTGTCACAGACAGGATGGGATGGGCAAGAGGGAGACAGAACCCGACGCGTGTGGGGGAACTTCAGAATTAATCTGGTGTTTGGGGCTTTAAGAAAACTCGGCCCTGGGCAGAAAGAACCCTCAGCTGAGAGAGACATCTGAAGTGTGGACAGCGCTGCGGGTGTGGAGTCCGAGGGGAGTGAGAGGTGACCAGGGCCCAGCACGTGCTTGGAGGCCCCAAGCGATCCGCTGTCGGCCAGCCCACAGGTCCAGGTCTGAGCCTCCACAGCGACACCAACAAAGGGAGAGATCACTGGGCAAGGTCAAGAGTGAGTAACAGACACTGCGGCGAGGGCAGAGGTTCAGACACCATGGCTCACGTCCTCCTCGCTTGTGTCAGCTAAAGGACATTCATGGGACAGAGAGTGCGCACACAGTTCCGGCAGCATTCCCAGCTGTTTTACAAAGCAGATGTGACACCGCTTCACAGACTAGCGGGCCAGCCCAGAGCAGCCTAGGGACTCGCTCAAGATCACAGAAGTGGTGGCAGCAGCGCAACATCAGATCTGGCCCCGCCCCAGGCCGCGGCCTTCCCCCGGGACGCAGGTGCCCGAGGTCTCCCAGAGCCACCGGCACGGCTGCTTTCCCGGAGGTCGCCCCAACCTCGGGTGTGTCCCCTGGGGGACACCACTCTCGCCACAATGACAGCAGAGCAGCCTGCCAGACGGGGCTCACCGCCCGGCCTCTGAGCCTGTCCCGCTTACACCCGTTTCAGTCGGGCTTCTCAGGAAGACCTTTGGGAAGGAGCCATCACTCCTGATCTGGTGACGACATCTCCTCTCACCTCTTTCAAAAGATGAAGATGGCTGATCTTTGATACTTCTTATCTGGTGGGGCAGAGAAAAAGTCCGTGTATGTTGGCCTGTTTGTGTGTGTTCGTGCATATGTTTGCATGTGGTATGTGTATGCACGTACACACGTTTTCCTATGCATGCTGTGTGTGGCTATGTGTGCACACTGGAGCAGGGGGTGGTCAGTGAAGGGCCATTTCTTCCTCTGGGGAGGCTGTTGTAAATTCCTATGCTGTCACAGGTGCCCAGTCCTGGAAGTCAAGGGACTTGGGTCTAGTCCTGTGTCTGCTGCGGACCACCTGCCCTTGCAGATGCTCCGTTTCCCCTCATCTGATTCTGTTAGAGTGGACTATAGTAGAGGAAGGGGGCCCTTGCTTCTCCCATTCACCAGGATCAAGAAGGGGAGGCGGTGAGAGCGAGGTGGCTTGTTGGGAAGGCTGCCCGCTGGCGGAGGCACGTCTGAGAGCCAGAGAGCCCCAGCGCCGCCTCTGTGCCTGGCCGGACACCCTTCCTTGGCTTCCCTACTAGGCTGCTCCTGGGGCAGAGCAAGGTGACACAACATGCAGCAAACGTTCCAAAGGATGGCTTCACTATGGCTTTTCCATGCGGGGGAATCTAAGAGGAGGTAAGAAAGCCCCCCTCCAAGCCAGCTCACTTATTATCCCTCTCTGCCAATCAGAAGCAGAGGTCAGGACTTTCTGGACCCATGCCAGGGGCTTAGCCAAGGTGGGGCCACTAACGAAGGGGTCTGCTCTGGATGCCTTTCCTGTGCGGCTCAAGTTGGTTAAGGACACTGGACATTTGGAGGGCTTCACCTCTCCAGCGGTGGGCAGATGGGCAGCGGAGCAGGTCCTGCAGGCCACCCAGTCTCTCTGCAGACCCAGGAGGTAGCGTAACCCTAGTCGCCCCCTCTGCTGTCAGAACTGACCACCTGAGGGAAGTGGGGACAGGGACACACACCAGCACCTGGGAGCAGCCCTTTCTGTGCCAACTCCCTTCCCACCCCACCCCATACCAGCTCCCCACGGCTGGGGAGCCGCAGCATCCCGCAGCCGGTGGCGTGCGCGGGCGCCCTCCAAGCGCGGGGACCTGGTCCCGCAGGTCTGACCACCGGCTCGGGGCGTCTGCCCTGGGGGTCGTTCCGCCGGAAATGAAGTGGGTTAATGTACCAATCTCTGAACGTACAAACTCAGCCTACTCAGATTTGTTACAAAGAAAGCTCTGCCCAGGAAACCTTAAAACTATCGCCCTGTGAGTCGCCGCCTCCCTCCGGGGTCCAGTTCTTGGGGAGACCCGCCCCGCAGAGCCCTGCCGCCCCCTGCCGCCCCCTGCCGAAGTTGCCAGAAACCACAGTCCGGACCGCGGACGACGGCCCACCACCCGCCGCCGGCGCGCGACCCCCGGCGCTGGCACCGGGGAGGGGCTGACGCGGCGGGCTGGCGGGGCGCAGGTCGGGGGGCGCGCGGCCGCGCGGGGGCGTTAGGGGGCTACCTTCTGGATGCGTCCGTCGATGTCCAGGTAGATGGCCTTGGGCCGGTAGCTGGAGGGGCCGGATCCCATCTTGCGCCGGCGGCTGCACTTGGACTTTTACTGTACTTTCTCGACGCCGGCGGCGCGCGGCGGGCGGGGAGGAGGAGGGGGCGGGGGGCGGGCGGCGGAGGACAGGGACCCAGCCAACCAGAGCGCGGCCGCGCACCGGGCCGCCCGGCCGCCGCCTCTGCCGCGCGCGTCTGCGGCTCGCGCTCCTCCTCCCGCCGCCTCCTCCTCCCTCCTCCCTTCTCCCTCCTCCTCCCTCCCTCTACTTCCTCCCTCCTCTCCGCTCCCATCTCCTTCCCCTCCTCCCCCTCCTCCTCCCCATTCCCTCTCTTCACCCCTCCCCGCCCCCTCCATCGCCTCCCCCTCCCCACTCCCTCTTCACAGCCCCTCTCCCTCCTCCCCCTCCTTCTTCGCCTTTCTCCCTCCTCTTCACTCCCTTCTCCTCCCTTCCCACTTCAAGACACACTCTCCTCTTCCCTTGGACTCCAGCCGCCTTGCTGAGAGGACCAAATGGGCAGCCTGTCTGCATGTGCCCTCTGGACAAGTGCCCACAGCTAGCGGCACGCGGGCCAGATTCCCACAGCGACCCCCTCTGGCTGCAGGACTGGTCCCCGGCCCCCAGACAGCTGCCCATAGAGACCTCCCCGGGTGGACAGTCAGTCCTCAGCCAGCACCTGGCAGACCTGGGACCCTGCGCTGCCTGTGGTCATGAAGCCACCCCTAGCATCACTCAGCACTAGGAAAATTCCCCTCGGGAACCCTCGGGAACCCTCGGCCTGCTCATGTAATTCGAATCGGAAATGGGAAAAGTTTCTTCTCATTCTGGCACCTCCTTCCCCTAAGTTTTCTGTACATTCTTGGGAGTGAGCCTCTTCTATCTGCCCCCAGAGCTGAAATGGCAATTTTATTTCTGTCCTTAATGTAGCCAGAGCAAGGATTGCCCAGCGCCGGGCTATTTTCTAGTTTCAGCGCTCCTCTAAGCCTCCCCGCCCCACGTTGTGAACTCTCACAGGGCGTGTGGGACAAGCAGGAGGGGGGAAGGAGGGGTTCCAGGCAGATGTGACCTGAAAATCACAGTGGGGACGGCCTCGGTGGCCTCCCAGTTCTCTCGAGGCTCTCCCAGCGGGAGCGAGGTGCGGGGAGGGCAGAGTGGCTCCCAGGGCCTTTTCCTGTGGGAAGTGGGTGTCCAGCCAGCTTTTGTTTCCTTCTGAGTGAGTCCCATGCCGCTGCCTTGCATCAGTTGAATGTCTGGGTTTTGCACAGTCACTAGCTTTCCCGACTCCTGGTCCAGGGCCCCCTGGACCATCGGCCATGCGGGAGCCCTGGGGGAGGCGGGGCCGATCATCTCCAGGTGAAGCGTCTTCCTCAGGCTCTGTGCAGCCCTGCATGTGTCCCTTTATGTCCCTTGCCTGCTCAGGGGGGCTCTCAAAGAACATGCTGGATGATGGCTTTGCCTCCAGGGCAGTGAAGGGACCTGCCTGGGAAGAGGGTGTGAGAACCCGCCCACCTGAATCTCGAAGGGAGGGGGCGAGGTGCAGGAGCTCCAGGGGACTCTGTCAGAGCCTGGGTCCCCTGAGACTTGCTTTGCAAATAACTGGGGATGAGAAAGGGCAGTCGGGAGGCCTTTGAAGTGTATGTGTGTGGTAGGGTGTGGGGGTGGTGAACCCGGTTGGGTGTTACAGTAAGTCACCTGATAGTGTGTCCCCCCGAAATTGGAGCGAGCACCATGATTATGTTTAACTTTGTTGTTGAATGTTCTGATGCTATTTGGGCTGATCCAGCCACTGATTTGCGGGGCTGGGGTGCTGCCTGGCACGGCAATCTCACTGCCCAGCAGATGGCTGGCTCATTCATGAGGTCGGTGCTTATTTATTCTCCATGTGTTATTGCCATCTGACCCAGCCTTCTTCAATCATCTCCTTCTAGCGCCCTGGAAAGACAAGCGCTCAAACGCGGCGCCTGGAGGAGGCGGGCCTGGGCCTGTGCACATGGCACCACGTGGGACGGGCCTCTTACACCGCCTGGCTGATTCTATATTCAGAAGATAGAATACGATTGCTCCCATAAGTCTGACTGACTGGATAGACTGCCGTGCGGGATTCAGCCAACGGCACAGCAGTCCCGGCTTTGACCCCGTTCCCGGTGGAGCAGCAGTGACCCTTGCGGCCACCAGCTCTGTCCTTACTGTGTGCTGGTGCTGCCCTAGGCACTGCGCACCCACCGGAGGACACAGACACACAACCCCTGGCCTGGAGGAGCCGGCGTTTTAGTGGGAGACAGGCAGATGGGCTAAGTAAACAGGACATGTCGCCGGATGGGTAATGATTAGCACAAAGGAGAAGAGTCTGCAGAGAAGGAGCTACAGAATGCGAAGTGTGGGAAGCAAGCAGAGGCGTCTGTGGGAGAACCTTCTAGCAAAGGGAGCAGCCTCATGTCCAAGGTTCCTAGAGCAGGAGGCCAGTGTGGCTGGAGGGGAGGGCGGGAGGGTTAGAAGGGGAATGTAGAAGGGGGGTGAGGTCAGAGAGGTGATGGGGTGGCAGGCTTGGCGGGGACGGGGCGGGGGGTGGGGGGGACTGCGTGATACAAGGGACTTGGCGGCACCCAGTCGGAGTCCTCGCAGGAGGCTGAGCAGAGGCGGAAGTGGTCTCCTCTGGTGCTAACAAGGTCCTCCCGCTTTGGGCCTGGGCGGGGGCGGGGCGGGGCGGGGTTTGCCCTGGAGGGGAAGGGCTGAAGCGGGAGACCAGTGACAGGATGAGAAGCGGTGGGATCTGCTTCCGACAGGGAGACTGTTCCACTGTTCGAGTCTTTCATTCCTGCTCCTTTGCTAGGTGGATGCTCTTCTGCTTTGGGCTTTCCTCCCCTTTCACAGAACGGGGTTCTACCTAAATGTATGCTCCTTCATCCCGCAGGGCCTTGGGCTCAGGTTCCAGGAACCAGCCCTCCTGTGCTCTTGACATTAGCCCGAGGATCCCCCCACTGCGTCCTGGAGCCCCGTACCTGATCCCTGGCTTGTCCACCAGGTATGTGGCTCGTGTAAGTTCTCAGAATCACAATAAAAATGAGTAGACCGCCTGCCTCTGCCAGGTGGGCTGGGGGCCGGGATGAGGAGCCTAAGGGAGCAGGAGGCCTGTGGGTCTGTGTGGACTGGATAACCCAGTTTACAGAGTCCTGGGAAGCTGGTCCTGGGGGAGCTCCAGGGAGGGAAGCCTCCTGGTGTCTGGGACGAGGGTGTGCAGTCCCGCCCACCTGAATCTCACAGGAGGGGGCGGAGGTGCAGGAGCTCCTGGAGATGCAAAGCCGGCAGGCTCCTGAGAGCTGGCGCTGGCGCTGGGTCTAGCCTCTGTTGCCCACCCACGTATGGGCTGCAGTTTCTTCTTGTACCATCCTACCTGCCCACGGGCTCGAACCCGTGTATGGAGCTCACTCTTTAATTGCCCTACAGCCGCACCAAAGGGGAGCTTCAGAGGAAGGCCTGAGCGCCGCAGCGGTGATCCGAGGGGCTGAGCCAAGACGGTGCAGGAGCAGCAGGCTTTGGTCCCTGGGTCCCACTCCAGCTCTTCATCCTCGGCACGAAGGAGCAAAGCCATGAGAAAGAGGAAGAGGAGGGTCTTCCATGTCCCCGCAGAGTGGGAGCTGCCAACAAGGACGCAGACAGTGGGAGGGAGGCTGGGAGCACTCGGGGAAAGGCTGGAGGGTGAATCCACCAAGGGAAGGCGGAGTCTGTCTGGAGTGGCCGCGCTGGGTCAGGCTGGGCATCTCCCAGCGGCTTCCCGCACTGGCCCCCTGCAGTGTCCCTGGACAGGGCGGGCCAGGGAAGGGTTCTCTCTCGGCTCTGCCTGGCGTTTTAAAATGACTGTTCTGAAAAGAATCCATTCGTTTCCTACTCCAGCTCTTCTGAGCCAGGGATGGGTGGGAGGACAAAATGAATTTGTCAGACAAGCAAAATGTGTTGGCGCTTACTATATAGAAGGCACAGAGCCGGCCTTGTTAAAGGGGATCAGGCACCCGAGATGTGGGAAGCGTTGTGGGAGGGGATTAAAAGTATAAGCTGGTCAGAGATGAGGTGTTTACATTCTGAAGGCCTGGCCATCGGCCTCTTGGAGGAATCAGACTATCTCGTACATGCGTTAGGAACTGAACAACACCCATGAACCGCCTTACGCTCTGGGAAAACCCTTTGCCGGGTGTGCCCGGAGCTCCAGGACAGGTCTCCGTGCCTGTGACCAGTCTGGCTGAAGCTTCAGCGCAAACGGCGTAAGTGCTTGTGTGAAGACGACCACGGCGGTGTCGGCTCTAGGAGTGTTTGGTTTGTACACGCTTCTTTCCCGCTACGAGTTTGGTAATTACGAAATTATTACTGCTTGTGAATATTTCAAACAATGTTGTAGAAAGCCAAAGTCTGCCTGGGTCGGAAGACAGAGACCCGCCCCCTTCGCAGTCATCCTGTGGGTCTCTAACCTGCGTGCTTGCTGATCTGTTTAGATTGGATGCACTAAGTGATGGGCATTGACAGCTTTCCAATATGTTTTGGTTGTAAACCATGTAGGAAACCATCCCTATGTATATCTTTTGGTAGTTGTGCTGCTGTTCTGTAGAACTGAGTCTTAGAAGTAAGATTTCTGGATAACAGTGTGTGGAGGTTTCAGTTTTTGATTTTGCTGAGTTGCCCTGCATAGCAGTTAAGTAGTCTGAGCACCCGGTTCCAATGTGTGGGTTGGTATGTGGGTTCTCCACACCAACAAGCGAGTCTCTGACGCCATCTCCTTGGAGATAGGGTCAGTTCTCAGAGGGTAAGGACTCAGTCCCACAGGACTGCCCTCCCCCACTTCACATGCCCACTGAAATAGCAGGATGTCACCGGTGTTTCAGATTGCCCACTAGAGTTCAGAGGTGCTTCATTATCACGCTAGAGTGGCTCGCAGAACTCAGAGAAACATGTTACTTAGCAGAGCACCGGTTTATTATAAAAAAAGATGTAACTCAGGAACGAGCAGGCAGGAAAGATGCATCAGGCAAGGTGAGGGAAATGGTACAGAGCTCCCATGGCCTC